TCAGACACTTTCCATATAAACAAGGAGTTAAATTTTGCTTTGTAAATGCATCACTGTTTACTATCTGCACCTAAAACTAGACCGAGCTTGTAATAAAAAACACAGAGCATACATAGCAATAAACTCCCACTTATCTATCACTTTCATCTTCATCTGAATATCTCAGATTTTAAAGGTTTATTTCACTTTACTATTTTCTAGGCACCCATTCAAAGTGCTGAAAGCACAATAACCGACAGAAAAACAATATCAGGATGAATCTGTGTAAATAGTGGAGGAGACACATTTTCTGCAAGGTAAATTAATGTATCACTTAGTGTCACAGCAGATAAAAGACTGACAGTACACTCACTGTGGACCTTATTAACCGGGGAAACCTATAGCTCAGGGGCAAGAGTGACTGGTCCATAAATCATTGGTCATGCCGTCCTTGGTCCCTCCAGTCCACATACAGTGTCCAACTACAAACTGGCCCCATTATAGGCAAACAACTTTGCATAACAGATGTGCTCGGGTTACAAAGTCCGAGGCAAGTGTCGTTTCTTTATCTTCTCATACTGAGCATCGTCCGACGCTGCTGGTCGAAAGTGACTGCACAGAATTAAAACCACAGTCTGTGAGGGACACGCTCTCAGGGAACAGAGTGGAGGGTAGCAGGTGGCAAAAAAAAGTACACCTAATGAGGACATATTTATTCTGCCAAGAGGTGGATTTATAAAATCATACTGAAAACCTTTAAGGCTTAGCCAAATGTTTTCATAATTTATCTTTCCAGTTTCATATGAGTTAGACAAAGTATTTTCACTGTGAGGAGCCTCGATTTGGCAGGAAAAATGCTCCAATTATTTTGCTGTGGGGGCACTGCGGAGGTTAGGGCTCAGCTGCAGCAGGGAGAGCACAGGAGTGGCGACGCAGGTGCAGCCCCGCACAATTTGTGTACAATTTGTGTAATCGAACCTCTCCCTATATTAGCCGGGACCGATCAGAGGGAGTAGTGGACAGAGAAGTGTGCACGAGTGCAGCAAGCACGCCATACATCCAAAAACCCAAGCATGACGCAGGAGCGCTTGATAAGAGCTTAAATAAAGAGTTGAACGAACATCGGTGTCAGCGTGTGTGTCAAGGAAGAACCTACGTACTACATTTGTATTCTGGTTGTGGCAGCTGCTGGGAAAAATGCTCAATAATCTGCTCTGGATGCCACTGCACCACAGCCACGGCCGGAGAAAACCTGGTCATGAGCTATACAGCCTGAACTGACACACAGCTGCAACATCCACGCAATGATTCAGCCTGCCTACCCATCAGCCACTCTGGGTTCCTGCGAACATAGAACATGTAGCGTCAGATAATGAGTCAAAGCAGCGTTCAGCCAGCGCCGTGCTGCCGGACTCTCCGCTACACCTGAGGCATACGCAACTGTATACACAATAGAATACACAGCTCCCCTTTCCTTAGGTGCTTTGATAACTCTATACACTGTAGGACCCCATATGTCTTGCATCTTGTGCCGCCTTCTGGCACTGAAATCGCGCAACAACACCAACTGACCTTCCATCAGGGGTTCACCTCTAACACGTTGATCATGAGCTTTCTTTCTGCGTGCTGCAGTCTTCAGTCGTTCCTGTGCACTGTCGAACGCCATCTGCAATCGGGCCTGGTGCTCATAAATCCATTCATGAACATCTCCACTCACAGGGTTCGGCACTCTACCGAAGTAAATGGGGAGTCTGGGCTCCTGTCCAAACATTAAGAAAAAGGGTGACTCGCCGGTTGCCTGATGGGGGGTAGTGTTATAACAATAAAGGCCTTGAGGGAGGCAGGAGGTCCAGTCTCTTTTTCAGGATGGTGGCAGTGTGCGCAGCAGGTTGTGGAGGGTTCGATTGAATCGCTCACACTGGCCATTGCCAGCTGGGTGGTATGGGGTGGTGCGAGACTTCTGAATGCCATAAAGACTGCAAAGCTGCTGAATAAGGGCACTCTCGAAGTTACGTCCCTGATCAGAGTGTATCCGGGCCGGGACCCCAAACTTAGAAAACCACTCTGCCACCAAAACCTGGGACACGGTAGTGGCGTGTTGATCACGGGTGGGGATGGCAAGCGTATACTTACTAAAAATGTCCATCATTACCAAGACATTTTCCATGCCATTACTAGCAGGATCCAACAGGGTGTAGTCAATAGCCAGAATCTCATTTGAGTGGATGGGCAAGGGCAAGGGCAGGGTCAGGATCCACCAAAATAAGGCAAAAATAACTTAAATCACCAGGCACATGTGGCAGACACACCCTCAGTGAAGAAACCCACTCCCAGGGACACAGCAAGATACGACATCACCACCAGGTCACTAGCACCGCCACCACCGACCTACAGCAACTGAAGAGGGAAAAAGAATAGAACATTAGCAGGGTAGTCCCCAATAAAAAAAAATGCTTATGCATAGGACCGCGGTGTATGGCCGAACAATCGTCCTGCACAGCGTGTATCTTGGAAGTCGTGAAGCCGCTGACGGTCGCAGAAGAACGCCGTAGGCAGCAACAGATATATGGCAATACAGTGAAAACAGCACAAAATAACACCAAACAAAACAGTACAAAATAACACCAAACAAAGCAGTACAAAATAACACCAAACAAAGCAGTACAACATAACACCAAACAAAGCAGCGGTCCAATGAGGTGGTTACAACACCTAGTCAAAGGAAAACACTATTAGCATGTACTAGATGCACTAAGATTGATGCAGTGGCACGTAACAATGTGCATACCTTCTCAGAACACAGACACTCACAAGGAGCAGAGTGACGGTAGAATCGAGCGTGAGATTGACAGGCGGATCGGGGCTGCTGTATCGGTCCGTTGTGGTGAAGAAGGAGCTGAGCCGAAAAGCGAAGCTCTCAATTTACCGGTCAATCTACGTTCCTACCCTCACCTATGGTCATGAGTTGTGGGTCATGACCGAAAGAACGAGATCAAGGATTCAAGCGGCTGAAATGAGCTTTCTCCGCAGGGTGGCAGAGCGCTCCCTTAGAGATAGGGTGAGGAGCTCTGTCACACGAGAGGAGCTCGAAGTAGAGCCGCTGCTCCTCCACATCGAGAGGAGTCAGCTGAGGTGGCTTGGGCATTTACATCGCATGCCCCCCGGACGCCTCCCTCGGGAGGTGCTCGGGTGCCGTCCCTCTGGGAAGAGACCTAGGGGAAGACCTAGGACACGCTGGAGCGACTACGTCGCTCGGCTGGCCTGGGAACGCCTTGGGGTCCCCCCAGAAGAGCTAGAGGAAGTTTCGAGGGAGAGGGAAGTCTGGGTGTCCCTGCTCAGACTGTTGCCCCCGCGACCCGGCCCCGGATAAGCGGTTGAAGATGGATGGATGGATGGATGGTAGGAAGAAACTTCAGGTAGGAAAAAACTTCAAACTAAGCTCTAAATTTCCGCTACCGGCCAATGTATGCATGCGCAGTTAACTCGGGTAGGAAAAAAACTATAGGTAGGAAAAAACTTTAGAACAATGGCCCAGATGTTCTTCACAGATGATGAAATGAATCTCTCAACATCCAATCAGCAGGGAACAACAGAGCCACAGCATCCATGTCTGACTGGATTTAACAGCAGATCCGTTTGGAATGATAAAGACTATTTTTGAAAAAAAAAATGACAGAAGGCTAATGCAAGAGGAAAAGAAATAAAAAAACACTCTACTTTTTCATTTCCACACTATCACTCCAGTCAGTTTGATTCATGGAAACAAATGCTGGAGAAAAGCCAGACCTTTACGGCAGCTTTACGTCTTTAAGTCCTGGCAAAAGGCTAAGTTAGTCGAACAGAGAGAGAGGGAGGGAGAGAAGGGGGAAAAAAGAGATGGGTCACGGAAATAGGAGCAATTAAAAAAAGAGGAAGGAGAGCTGGGATAATTAGGGGAGGAGGAAGAGAGATTAATTAGTGCAAAAGGTGCAACAGGGAAAAAGAAACGGGAAAAGAAATCTGGAATGAAAAGGGTTAACCAGGAAAATTTACAGGAGAGAGAGAGGGAGTGGGGAGGAATAAAAAAGAGGGAGAAGGATAGATGGGAACAGAGAAGTTCAGACTGGTTTTGCTCTTTGTGGATGGACTGGAGAGGCCAGGATTCCCACTGTGGCTTTGACCCTCCATCCCTCCCCCACCAAGTCTCCCTAAACGAGAGGACAAAAATCTTCTCAGCCTGCGTCTCTGTTTCTGCCAGGCAACAGACGTAGACATCTACACACCAAAAACAATGTGGACCTTTATGTTCATTATACCAGACATACAGTAGAACCACATACACATATATTAATTAATTAATTAATTAACACTAGAAGGCAGTGACTTGAGCAAGGTGGCATTTAAAACTACAAGAATTACTAAAAACGATAAGAATTACTGTGAAGTGGGAGAAAAAAACCATCTGATTCACAGTCATTTAAAGTGAGCATGGAAGGAGAGAGTGTGTGTGTGTGGGGATTAAGGTATTGATTTTAGGGCGAGGGAGCAGCAGTAAGTCGTTAAAAAAGCGTGACGTTCATTAGTTTAGGTCGTGAGATGAAGTAAGCCCTGGGGCTTTTTGTGTAACGACAACCACAAAAGGGCTAACAATTAAAAGTATTTATCCATTACTGTAGTGTAACGTGTTAAAGGGCACAATGCAAAGATGGAGACGGTGCTGGAGACACTGGAGGTGAGTGAAGATTCCAAGAAGTCCAGATATAGAAAGACACCTGGTGGTTACTGAAAACACCCTGTTTTGACAACTGTGGTGAAAATTCAAATATAAATGAACTTTTCTCTCTGACTACTACATTTAAACTTCAATTTAATGTTCTACAGAGAGATAATCTTTTTTGGTGTTAAAAATCAGCAGCAGCTCAAGATGTTCTGTGAAGCAGTGAACGCAGCAGACAAACTTTAGAACCTGTGAATACAAATTACTCTCTCTCTCTCTCTCTCTCTCTCTCTCTCTCCCTCTCAGCTCCCACATGGTAACAGTCTCACCTTGAGGGAGTGATGGGAGTCAGGTCCTTCCCCATGGTCTGGATGACTCGGCGGCCCCACACCCACAAACCAGCGCAGATGCCTATACTGCCGTAAAACAGCAGCCAAATAGGAGTGTTGGCATCCTGCATCACACCACCCTGGTTGTAGATCATCCACAGCGCCACCAAAGGCCCGATTGCATTACTGCAGAAAAAGTCCAATTTAGAATTTAGATATAAATGAGCACATTGAGGATGACTAGTTAATACAAAACTCTTCTGTTGCCAAGTGATAGAGGTGGTGTCGACCATCTTGAATGCAAGGTCAGTGAACACATCCACCAACACTAAGGACTCTTCGATACATAACCTAAACTTCATAGATTGATTAGTGACTAAGTAACAAACGGCAGCACCTGACATCATTGCCTCCGTGGGCGAAGGACCCAAAGCAGGCCGTCAGGATCTGGAGGAAGTGGAAAAGCTGGAACACCTCAGGCTTGTCCTTCTCCTCGTGGTCCTCCTCCTCCTCCGACAGATCATCCAGAGGCATCGGCTCCGGGGTCCCTTCTTCCTCCACGCCATCCAGCTCTATGGCCAGCTTCATCTGCACACCTCCCTCCTCCGCTTCGATATCCGCCTCGGCTACAGCATTGCAGTACGATGAGTAGCTGTCGTAGCGTATCCTCTTCTTGGAAAAGGACACACTGTTACTCCGGCCGCCTCCCTCGCCGACCAGCATCTCGCTGTCGTCACGTGACTCTGTATGAATGAGCGGCTGCACGGGCATGCCGCAGATGGCCGCAGTGTAGCAGGTGTAGCTGTTGTTGCGGCGCAACAGGCGATAGTTGTTGTCGGGCTGGATGTTGGAGCCTGAGCGGTCGCCGTCATCCATGCGGCCCAGGTGAATTTTATGAAGCAGGTCTTTATACAGACCCGAGTCCTTGTGTACCGTGTGGTACACCTGACCATCGCTGCGCGTGGGTCTTTCAAAGCTGAAGCTGCCGTTGGAGACGGGAGACTTGAGGCAGCCGTTGGTCATGGAGTGTGTCCGACCTGAGGGGACGGAAAAGACAAAAACAGTTTCATGAAAACGGGACATCACAGAATCCTGCAGCAGCACAGTCACCTGCTGTTTTAGATTCTAAACATTCAAATTACAGTGGAACCTCGAGGTTGGAGCAAGTCTTTTAGCAAATTCTTACTTCGAGATACGAGTAAAGATGATATGAAAGAGATATGAGTATGCTTACAGACGACGATGCTAGGTGGCCGAGCTCTCGGAGCTGCCCACGCCGCTTCACTCGTTCACTTGACTTGTTTGTCGACTTTCGTGCGCATCTTCCGCGAGTCTTCCGTATTGTGTTTGCGTTATCTACGTGACTTTCTCTCTATTATGTGCATTATTGTTCTTAATAGTACACTAGGGTACAAGAATCAGTTTTATAGTGCCGGTCCCAAGCCCGAATAAATGGTGAGGGTTGTGTCAGGAAGGGCATCCGGCGTAAAACTTTTAGCCAAATCAAATATGCGAATCACTAAAACGATTTCCATACCGGATCGGTCGAGGCCGGGTTAACAACAACCGCCAACAGTGCAGTTGACCTACAGGGCACTGATGGAAATTGGGCTACTGTTGGTCAAAGACAGAGAAGAAGAGGAGGGCGTTTGGTTAGGAGAAAAAGAGAAAAGAGGAAGAATAGAAGTGTTGGTCTGAAGTTTGGAACTCCGAATGTAGGTACTAGTGATGTGTCGTTCACGAGTGATTCATTCAAAATGAACGAATCTTTCATATGAGTCATGACTCCAGAGTCATATGAAAGATTCGTGACTCGTGACTACCAAGTCATATTAAATATTTATTCATATTGAATTTGTTGAATCACTCACAAATCACTCACTGCGAACTAATCACACTCTGCGAACTAATCACTTACTGCGAACAAATCACTCTCTGCTAACTAATCTTTCACTGTGAACTAATCTATCATTGCAAACGAATTACTCTCTGCAAACTAATCTTTCACTGTGAACTAATCT